CAGAGATACGGAAGAGCCATTAAAAGGTTTTAGTCTGTCTAAAGATTTCCCGGCACTTTTAGTAGCTTGAGGAAATAAAAACCTCTCCTGGCCGGAGAAAACACCACGTCCCTCTTTACTCGGTGTTTTCTGGGTGTCGCTGTAAGAGCAGCACCAGAGCCAGCGCCAAACCAGCCGCGTTCCCGGCCCGTTCCGTGAGGCTGCAGATGTTCATCCCAAGTGGAAATGAAAAGTGAGGACTCGGTTTCTTTTAATTGCAGGGTGAGTGTGTTTGCTGCGGGAGGTTAATCTGCTCTGACTTCTCCCTGTGGCACCTTCTGCCTGCTCTTGATGCAGCCTGTGCAGCCCGTCCCCTGCATCCCTGCATCCCTGCATCCCTGCATCCCTGCATCCCACCTGCCAAGGAAGCTGCTCCTGGAGGCCCCAGGAATGAACAGCAAAGGGCACAGGGAAGCAGCAGCCCAGCTTCATCCGGACCTCACGGGCACCTTCCAAGTCACCCTGCAGAGAAACGTCTCTGCTGCAGTTCAGCAAGATCACCCTAAGAGTGTCCATGCCCGTAGGGAAGAGGGGTTTAGGAAGACAAACAGACATTCCCAATCAACCAGTGGTTTTGCTGTAGGGATTTCCAAAACCTTGACCTCATCATTAACCACTGCTGGACAAACATGACAGGCTTCAGTGAAGGAGGAGACGTGAAGATGCAGCTGATGCTAAGAACCACTTTATTGGAGAATGGGGAACAGTTTGTCTTGCCAGGGCAGATGTGATGAGACTTGCCATTAAAAACCCCTGGGTTTTGGTCTCTACCTTAAGACAAAAACAACCCCAGACAAGCAAAGACAATTTCTCCCAGAAACTGCAGGAAGACAAACAGGTGCTTCTGCTCAGTCAGGTCCTGTCTTAAGGATTTTCAGATCCCTGATCGTCTCACCACTCCTGGCAACTGTTTCCCACTGGACAAACATGACAGGCTTCAGTGAAGGAGGAGACGTGAAGATGCAGCTGATGCAAAGCACCGTTTTATTGATGTTTAAAGCAGAGCACAAGAGCAAACCAGTGTCAGGGAACAGGCACCTCTCCTCAAAATAAAGCACTTCCCAGCCCTCAGCTGGCAGGCAGACCAGCCCGGCTCGTGCCAAGGGAGCCCCAGGGCTCTGGTGCCAGGGAAAGACCATCCAGGAAGGACCTGGCTGAAGAAGAGGAGCTCCCAGGAAGCGGGCACTTCACTTGCTGCTGCCAGAGCCTGGTGTGAGCAGCTGCCCTGGGCCCTGCTCGGAGCCTGCCCAGGAGTGGCCTGGACCTGGAAGCAGCCCCAGAAGGTGCCACGTGTCCTGCCCACTGGTCTGCCCGAAGGAAACCCGTGCAGGGCAGAGCTTGCAGCTCAGGCTAGCAGAAACCTAGACCCCAGCAGTGAAGGGGGACCCCCAACCCAGCAGCCCTGCGCCCCTTCTTCTTGGGGGCTGCCCCCCAGAGAGAGAAGGAGGGAGCTTTTCCCAGGCTGCCTAGGGCAGGATCTCGGTGGTGCAGTCTCCAGAGGGGAAGTGGATCTCATTGGCCAAGCAAGGCCCGTTGGGTTCCTTTCCAAAGTCCACCAGGAAGTTCTTGTTGACGCTCAGGCCGCCCTTGCACGTGTCCACATCGATCTGCAGCATGACAGAGCCCTCCCTGCCAGGGACAAGAGCACAGCAGGTAGAGACAAGCACCCGTGGGCCCGGGCAGGAGCTGCTGCCCCTCAGCCTCCTCCCTGTGGAGGAAGACGCTTGTCACGGG